GGTACAGTAGTCAATTCAGAACAAATTCCTAAGTACACACGATGTTCTTTGAAAATTATAGAAATTTCTTTTAGTGCGCTTCAAGTCGAGCAGCGATTGAAGCGCTAACCACCATCGCAAGCAGCTCTAAAACAGTTTAGAAATGCCGTAAAAACTGAACAAGCTAGCCAACGGAAATACAGTCTCCCATTTTTGGGCTCCAGAATATTCCGAATTAGAGAAAAATGGAGTAGCAGAAGAACTTGCTAGAAATTGAATGAGCTTGAACACCTTTTGTAGGGCCAGACCCGATATGCGGGATCAGCAAAACTCTGGCAAACAAAGTTCAACAGGCATGAGAGCTGAAAGAATCTTCAAGGTCTCAGATAAATAACTGGGTAACTATAACGAAAAAATATCAAATATATATTGTGTTTGCCTGAGGAAGAATACACTTCGTATATTCACGGTAGGCTTGACAGAGCACTGCAAATTGAAACGACATCTTAGGAAGCTTGGCTTAGAAGAAGCTGGATGCAAGTTCTGTACGAAACCCAAGAGCATAAAAATCTAGAAGAACACCTAACGAGGTGCTACTCTACTTGGAGGGATTTCGTATCCTGAATTTTCTTAGGTATATACAGGGTGTTTCAAAAAAACCTGACCCTCTTGCGGGTAGGTAGATCACTGCAAAATAAGTTGGGTTTGCTCAGTGAAAAAATGTCTTAACGGCATCCGTTTCAAGGTGTTAAAAAAATTACTTTTTTACACATTTTTCACGATTATGTCGAAACTACTGGAAACATTGTGATGAAATTTTGTACGGATGTTTCTTGGAATCTGACACATCGCATGAATTTGTTTTTATATCTGACTCTCATAGAGGGCGCTAGTTACACGGTTCGTACCGAGTAGTTTAGAACATAACTTTTTTGAGGTCAGATTTCCCAATCCAAATATGATATGAACTTAAACCTCATTCAATTTTACACCAAAAAGGAACTCGTGGTGAAACTCGATACTATGTTCCGTTTTCGGAATATTTCGAAATACGGAACACAGTATCGAGTTTTACCAAGAGTACCTTTTTGGTGTGAAATTGAATGATGTTCAAGTTCACATCAAATTTGGATTGAAAAATCTAACCTCAAAAAAGTTATGTTCAAAACTACTCGGTACGAACCGTGTAATTAGCGCCCTCAATGAGAGTCAGATAAAGAAACATCGGCATGCGATGTGTCAGATTCCAAGAAACATCCATTCAAAATTTCATCACAATGTTGCCAGTAGTTTCGACATAATCTTAAAAAATGTGTAAAAAAATCATTTTTTCAACACCTTGTATCTTGATAACGGATGCCGTAACGAAATTTTTTTACTGAGTAAACCCAACTTATTTTGCATTGTTCTACCTACCCTAGTAAGGGGGTCAGGTTTTTTTGAAACACCCTGTATATAGGCTCGAAAAATTGCTATAGCTACGATATAGGTACAACCTTATTGAGTGGAGTAGGAGAAGGAAAAATCTTTCAGGTTGCGGTATATTCACCTCTTATGCATTTTTTTTTTTCGTTCTGGTTCCCACGAAAAGAGATATCCTGTAATGTATGTTCAGAGAACATCGTGAGAACCAAGGGAAATGAGGTAGAAATTGGTCTTTTTCTGAAATTTTTGAAGGTCATTTGCCTTGAGGAACATCTCCATTGGTAATGTGTTCAAGAGCCTCGCTGTTCGTTGGATGAACGAGTCTTCGGAAAGAAATGTTCAGCAGGTCTTCAAAGTGACCACGAAGGGGTGCGAAGTTTCAACTCGACGGGTTAATCTCGCGGGGACTGCCAAGGCAGGAAAATTTGTTGATATATCAGAAGAATGAAAATATCTATAAAATAGAGCCAGATCGCCAACTTTTCCACGGTGTTTCAGAGAATTGAGTGAGTTCGTGAGCGAGGCATCACCCACGAGACGAATTGCCCGTTTTTGGACAGAATCCAACCGTTTCAGGGTATGTTTGGGTGCTGCAAATGTGGAAACTATATTCCAGGACAGGTCGGATCTGTGCCTTATAGATCATAAGCAGCTGACTGGAAGTGAAATAACTCCTGGTCCGAAACAGCAAACCAAGGTCCGAGATGCACTTTTAGCAAGTGATCTCACGTAATTTTCTCATAAAAAGTTATTGCTGATAGTGATACCAAGCATCGAAATGGATGTCTTCAAAGGTATGGTTACTCCTGACAAGCTGATGTTGGGTACAGTGATCGGCTTCTCTATAGAAAAGGCATGCTTGTGTTCTGTATGCATTAAAATTTATTGAATCCCTATTCAAAAATTGTAGCCAAGTCCATATTCATGTTGTCAACATTTCTCCCTCGTTCGTTTCTGATTTGCCTGGCTGGTATTGGAGCCCTGGAAAAGAAGATGGTATAGAGGGTACTATCATCCGCGAAGCTGTGTACTGGACATGAACTTGCTTCCAGCAAATTGTTGATATGGAGTAGAAATAGTGTTGGTGCTAGAATTGATCCTTGCGGAACACCAGCATTCATAATAAGAGAGTCAGATGAAGCTTCGTTGATCACTTCATGAAAATACCTGTTTGAGAAACAACTAGCTGGCAGAAAACATAGCTGGGGAGGCAAGCCATTAGATGGAAGCTTGGCGAGGAGTCCGTGGTGCTAGAGTCGATCGGATGCCTTGGAGATATCAAGTGCCACTGCTGAGGTTTCACTATATTTTCCAATAGATTGCTGCCATAAATGTGAGACGTAAGCGAGCAGGTCACCAGTTGATCTCTGATGACGGAAGCCATATTGGCTATTGTTGATAATACCTGAATGTTCCAGGTATTTCATGACCTCGATGTTGATAGCTTTCTCCATGATCTTTGAAATAATAGATAGCAGTGCGATACAATACAAGAAACTGCGAGAGCACATTATATATCTTGAGTGGTTCGATAAAAAATTCCGAATATATCACATTTCATATTTGTTTATGTTATCGAGGAACCCTGATAATTCGTTTTGTTCAATATTCTCATAGTTTGAAACAAATTAGAATTCACTTCATTATAAGAAAGTAGAATAACGAACATTTCCTAGAATATCTCAGCATCAGAGATAGAGCTCTCAGCAAATTCACCAGTTTCCTAGAGATCGCAAATGGGAATCATTGCTTTTATACACACAGTGCCCTAGGTTTAATTCGTCCGAAAATAACATTACCCTACTTTCTGTTTCCAATTTGTTTCCATATGTCTCACTTAGTTTTCTTGTTTTTGCAAATAATCTTGGATTCATTCGTGGAAGAAAGTGTCTTTCATTCGTTGAACTCATTCTTGTCTAGCTGTTGGGAAAATGTTCTCCTGGAAGTCCTGTAAAATAGAGAATGAAATGCTACAGATAACTGAATTCAAGATAAACATTCAGGTTCTGAAACATTCAGTAATGCTTTTCCATTTATTTTTTTGCAATTAAATGAAAACTAAGAGAGACACGAGGACAAAAACGGAAGGAAAATGAAATCAAAACAATTCTCCATTAGCTCAAAATCTGCTCTGACGAATCAGTAAAATATCCGTAGTATCGATGGAACCGCCAATGGCGTGCTAAAACTTTTTCATGAATATCAACTACGTTTTCTACTGGAATACCACTGACTGAACAAGACGGATCGCATTTCATCGACAGAAGATGTTTTCCTGTTACATGGAATGATCTCACCAAAAAATCGACCACCCTGGGTACTGAAAACGAGGCATTTCTGGAACTATGCATATTATCATATGAATTCTCACGTCATTTTGATGACTACTAGGTATGAACTATCGCAGTCTGATAGATGAAAACTGAAGAATTAAATGACAGACGACTCGATTCAAGACAACACAAAATGTTATCTTCTTATAACTATCTCCTATGCTCACATCACTGTGACTGATATCACTATGATTATGATAAATTACAACATGATATTGAAGACATCATGGAGATTCAGTTTGGTAGCTCAAAATATAGGGTTACAACTTTCTCATGCACCAATACCATTACGAAAAAATAAAAACCAAAATTATAAATTCTCGTTTTCTTCGAATAATTCAAAAACTACAAATCGCACATGAAATTTTCTTGCAGATAAATATTCAGCTTGAAAATTTGCAACTTTTTCTCTAATTCAACTGACCTCGTATCTCTTATAATAACTGAGATCCCCATAGTGGAGCTCGAAAAACGGACACCCTGTATAAATTTATTAGCAATTCCGTAAAATCAATGCAATTCATAAGTGTATGGATATATAGGTAACTTTATTATTGAATTAGTGTCAAAATATTAATCATACCTACTGAAAATTCAGTAGAAATGGCAACCTTGCAGTGTAAGCGGACGAAAAGTGTTTGCGGACGAAAAGTGTTTGCGGACGAAAAGTGTTTGCGGAAGAGAAGTGTTTCCGGCCGTAAAGTTAGTGTCTTCGGACTAAAAGTCCTTCCCTTCGGAAATAGTCGGTCCTTCGTTCGAAAATTGTAGTTTATTGTAGACGTTGAAGAAAATATCGGAATGATGTGATTCAATGTCTTGGCATCACCTAGCACCTCATCTTTCTTTTCATTGCTTTTGGGGCGCACGAAAGGGAATCATTATATTGTTCCAAGAACATCCTACCTGAAAATGACTTTGGTGTTATTACTCTTTAATATTTGATGATGATCCCATTTCATGAATTTTTGCTTATACTTAGTTGATATACCATTTTGTTTATTGTGTCTATTTAGATGTCACCCTTTCGCACATTAGACCTAATTTACATTTCGTTGAATTTGAAAAAATTATTACTTCGTTATCACGCAATTTTTATTGATGTTATTTCGGAATTGTATAGCGAAAAAAACAAAATGTATGCGTTATCTCATGAAAAATAACCATATCGTGAAAAATGAACAATAGAAATGAGTTTCATAGATTTGCACCGTGACCATCGAAAGCTGAAATAAATGAAAATACAGATAATGGCTGAATATAAATATTGGAAAAAATATCGTCATTCAGTTCAAGTTTCAGCATCAACATGAAGTTATCGTTCATTTCTGTTATTTGTTTATTGGTGACTGTTTCACGTGAGTTTATAATATGTCCAAATTCCAAATGTACCCCTATGTATAGCTAGTATAAAAAATGATGATATTGTAATTTGAGGGGTTATTGAAAGACCAGAGAGTCATTTTCTTCGAAGGAAACGCCCTGCTTATCATCAGATATAACAGAGTAGGCCATCACGTTTTCTGTTAGGAAACATGAAATGTCGATATGCAGAACGGGAAGTACAATGATCATAAATTGAAATCCTTTTAAGTTTGATATAGAAAACACTGAATCAGTTGAATCAGAAATACTTTTGAGGCTTTCAATCTCCAGATGACAGAAGATACTCCTAACCACACTGTATACGTTTTGGTGAAACGCCTCATCCTAAACCAGCACTGGTGTGAAGTAGAAAGTTGCGAGCTAGAAATTTTCCACAAAAATCCAAATTTATAATTCAAAACCGGTAAAAATTCACAATAAGGACATATCGTACGATTTTTTTCTATCTAAAAAATAGGGACGTTTGTTATAGCTTGCTCAAAATTTTCAGACTGTCACTTTCTTTTCTGAATAAACTAAAAAATTTCACCAAAACTGATCCGTATATGTGCGTTTTTTTGAGAGACTTGAATTCGGTACCATGCATGTTAACTGATTCAGTTAAGGTCAATTGATATACTCCAGTTAGTTGAAGTAGACAGAATATCACTATTGGGTGGGCGAGCATTGCCAATACCAATAAATTGTTTGTGTATGTAACGAAATTGACATCTGCTAGAAATCTACATTGGCCACTGAGGAGAACAAAAAAAAATCTGAAGTCTTGTCAGAAAAAAAAATCTTCTGGTTAAGTCAGCAATTGATTAATTAATATTCAAGATATTCACTGTGAAAATCACTTCCATTTACTGATATTCAATATACAAGGTATACAATGAACAACATGCGATTGATTGATTGTTTGTGACAAAAAATATATTGGCCAATCTAAAAGGTCCATTTCCCATAGAATAACATTCCACCAGAGTGAGAGTAGGCTGCATCCTGAGAGATGCGCTTTGGCTTGTCGTGTCAATGATTCTGATCACAAAATGAATCTGTGTCAATTTTACCAAAATAGGGAAACTACACTGAAAGGATTTTTCTAGAAATGGCTTTCATTTCTCAAGAACCGAAGTGCATCAATGAAAACACTGACGGAAATCACTTGAGTGAAATTTATGCATACCTGTTGTCAGTAGACACTGACTCAACACAAATTGAATATCAAAATCAATCCACACTTTTAAATGAATTGATTTTCCTGGAAATTCACATAATAATCACAAATTTACCCTCATTGAATTCATCTTCAAATAAAATGAAATCATAAACAATTTTTAACAAAGTTCAAATGTTAGGAGGATTGATATATCGCTTCTGCTTTTTCAGTTTTCCTGTTTTTGACTGAATGTAGCAAATTCACATTGTGGCTATGATACCTTTTCTATCTATCAATTCTCCATAATATTCAGTCATGAAGTGATGATTGAAAATGAAGAAAATTAACTTAACCAACTACATCACCAGTACTTGCCGCTCAAATGATGTTTTTTCTAATTTTTTCACATTTTCAACATTTTACAAGTTAACTTTTTTTACATAATTGTGATTGATCCTATTTTTTGTTCGTCTTTTCCACTATGTCATTATCGTCTTATATGTAGAGAAGTTGGCGATCTGGCTCTATTTTATAGATATTTTCATGGACGATGAAATATTAACAATTGTTTCTTCCTTGGCAGTCCCCGCGAGATTAACCCGTCGAGTCGAGACTTCGCACTTCTTCGTGGTCACTTTGGAGACCTGCAGAACATCTCTTTCCAAAAACTCGTTCATCCATCGAACAGCAAGGCTCTGGAACACATTGCCAAGGGAGGTGTTTCCCGAGGCATATCACCTCCAAAAATTCAAGAAAACACTAATTTCTACCATATTTACCTTGGTTCTCACGATGTTCTCTGCACATCACAGGATATCCCTTTTCGTGTGAACCAGAACATGAAATAAATGTGACGTAATGACAAATTGTTGTAGTATCCCTGATGATGGGAATATCAGATTTCAAAAGCTTGGACGAACTTCAAAGAATACTCTTTTCACTTTGCTGCATTCCCAATGAACCTAGTTTCATTTCTAACTAGTCATCAACGACTACCCTCTCACAGCATGTCTCACTTTAAACGTCCCCCCTCTATATCTCAGTTATTAGTTATGCAAATCTAACCAAATTCCATGTTTTATGAATAACCATCAATATTATCAGTTCAACAGAGATGCACATTATTTTGGACAGTGCCGTGCGTTTTTATTGAACTAAAAAGGGGTCGATTTTTCATAAAATCATATCAGGCATTTTTTTACAAGAAATCTAACCTCATATTATTGTTCCTCATGCTATCGAACCCTCATATGCAAAATTTCACCTCATTTCGAATTGACAGAATTGGCTTCATTTTTCTCATTTTCAGTCTCGAATAAATAGTGACTTCAAATCAACTACGAATTTTGGAACGTTCAATGGCTCCGGTAAGTCGAAAATCATAATTTGGAAGGAAAAATGAGTTATACTTTTTTATGTTGAATTCACCGTTTCGGAGTAAATAAGTATCACTTTTTCAAAAATGCTGTTTAGATGTGCCTGTTTTTCTGAAACCCATTATAGGAATCTTATGAAAATCCACATATGTGGGTTTGAAACCATGGAGAACAATATTATGAGGTCAGTTTTCCTGTGAAAAAATGCCTAATATGATTTAATACAAAACTGACCCCTATTAATTTCAATAAAAATGCACGGCGCTGTCTAAAATGATGTTTGTCTTTGAAGAACTGGTCATACTGATGATTATTCATACCGATACACATTTGGTAAAGGTCGCACGACTGATAGCTGAGATAAAGAGCAGGGGCCGTTCGAACTGAGACACGCTGTATATATAGTATTATTTCAGAATTATGTTCAAGAATAGGGCTTCATCCGAATGGAAATACTACCTACCTACTTCATAAAGCTGTATTGAAATAACATTCCTGAATATTATGATTTTCACTCATCGTTACGTTGGTTTCTTCATCAGCCTATAACAATGATAATTATCGTATTATGTTTTTCAGGATCCAAAGCAGATGAAGCCAATCTGAGAGTGTACAATGGTTGGATCGTTGAAAAGCCAATTCCCTTCATTGTTTCCATAAAAAAAGACAATAATAAGCATGTGTGTGGAGGAACGATCGTAGCAGCCCAATGGATTCTTACTGCGGCTCACTGTGTTGCGAATCAGACCAACCTTTCGGTTCTTGCAGGAGCTGTTGATAATTCAAAGTTAGATGAGAGATCCCAGTTAGTGGGAATTGATCATGTCGTCATTCATGATCAGTATGATTACGATGAGTAAGCTGACCCATTAATTTATAATTCATTGGTTTTTGTTCGTATCTATGTTATTTTATAATGTATCGGTAGAAACGTATAATTTCTTCTTATTTAACGATATTTCATCCTCTCATTTGCTGTAATTAAGAAAACATGCACTAAAAAGTTCCACTTATGCTATTTCTCATTGTAGTTCGATGATATTCAGAAATGATATTCTTGAAACCATCACGTTCATTACGTCAGTCAATAACTAATGAGTTATTTTTGATGGATCAATATTGATTCCAACATTACAATAAATTTTCATAGTAATTTGAAGATCGCAAGGGCTCAACATAGGTTTCACGCGACTAAAACATCCGTTCCTATAGTTTATCAGATGATCAATCCTGAAAATGTAGTGAACAATGATGAAGAAACAGATATATAAATATATGAATATGAATGTGGTAATTGCAGTATGGAAGTATATTTTTCTGCGAAGGCATCTACAATTGGAACATGAGGTTCAGGGTTTCATTTTTCGGATGTTGTCGAAATCCTCAACGGATACTATGAAGAAATTTCCTTTGATAAGTTCCATGTGAGTGGGGCGAATACCTCTCCTCCACTGCGACCCCAGATGGGTCTATTGTGGCTCATCCCTAGAGGTTACAGTTCACCGTACAATCCACATCTTTTCACAAAGTTCATGGTTGAATTGGGTGAGATTTGTCTGAAATCGATAGGTTCTAAATTGGTAAAGCCAAATGTGTCGAACCTTAGTCTTTCTGAACTAGACCATGAACATAATATGTGTTCAGCCGTTTCGTCTTCAACACAACAGAACCGACAGTATGTTTGTTGGTTCAGACCCATCCTTTCCAGGTGGTACCTTAGACGACAGTGTCCCGTAAGCAGTCCAGTCAGAATTCGCAGGTTACCCCTGCTCCATTCTAGGATCTGCCTGGTTATTTTTTCCGATGGTTTAGGCAGGAACGCCTTCGAATGGGTTAATCCTGGTAATTCAGACCAGTACGTGAGTGTTTTTCCCTCCGCCCAGCCCGTGATAGTTGTTTTCGCCGCACTTGCGATGACCTCAAAATATGGTCCTGGTCCTATACACAGATTCGGTTTCCTGTTTGGCGAGGATGTCGGCTTTCTCGTTACCCTCCACCCCCTGGTGTCCAGTCACCCACAGCAAAGTGACTTTGTTGTTAGCACCCAGGCATTCTAGGGATTCAATACAGCTCCATACAAGCTTGGAATTGAGCTTGCTTGGGCTCAGTGCTAAGAGCAGCCTGACTGTCTGATACAATACTGATATTTTTGATGGGAGTGTGAGCGTCCTTATATTATTTAGGTGTACACACTAAACACTTCTCCATCCAAGGCTCGTCTGACCAATGTGTCTGATGACACTTAGGCTCATTGTATCTCACCTCGAATATGCCGTTATGAATCTTACCAAATACGACTCATAATTCTTAACACCTTAGGGTGTTAACGAATAAGTGTCTCAACGGAACACTGTAAATTCTTTATAAGAAATATACTTTTCTTCTCAGAATTTTTCTCCGGGCTTCCGTTTTCAATATACAGGGCGTCAAAATAAATCGAAAGTTTAAGATGTTCGCTCTTATCACAGGGACCGTTTGAGTAACGGAGTTAAGCTTTTAAACACATTCCATGATCCATCAATAATAATGATTTCTTTCGAGGCACTTAATCAATTTCCTTAGAGTTGTCAGTGATGAAGAGTTCAACGCCTCGTAAGGGTTTAACCCTCCAAAATTTCATGCCACTGGAGAAATTGTAATTCTCAAAGCACATTCTGAAGTGTCCATTCTATCTACACAAAACAGAACTTCCTGCTGCAATGCTCTGAATTCAACAGTTTCCGAGAAAAAAGGCTTCATATAAATATCATCAGGGTTGGGTAAAAGAACGATTCAGTATCGATCTGATCTCTGATCCCTGAATAAACTAAACTCCGCTCTATACTATTATTTCTCATTCTCGATACCCTGATAGCAATTTCAGATATTTCAATATAGCTATAGTTGATATGAACGAGAACGTTCATGATTTTTGTTATTATCATCATCATAAATAAATCCTAAATAATTTAAGTCCTCATGAAACTGCGTTGAATAAAAAAATTCAACATATACCAATTATATTCACGCCGGTCTAGAAGTCCTTTGTATGAAGGGTACAGAATCTGATCTGAAAATGATAAGGAAAGATACTATAGGAAATCATCCAATCTGAATTTACTTCTCAAGGCTACATATTTCAAGATACTATTGTTTTTCACTGATATATTACTCTTCCATTTCAGCCACTCTTATCGAATAACATCTGTTTTTCAGTTCTGAAAACATTGAAAACGACATAGCACTTCTTTATTTGGATGAACCGCTCATTTTCAATGAAAATGTCGAGAACATTCCACTCATGAGTGAAAGCAGCCTGGAAGAGGCAGTGAGAGAAAACAGCACCAGCTTCATAGCAGGATGGGGAAGCACTGAGGATGCATATGCTTCGAAAAAGTTGAAATGGGCCCTGGTGTCTTTATTAGACTCCGAAGGTGAATATTTCTGATTGAAAGATGTTACATTTTGAACATGATGGTGAATCACAATAGAATGCTTCAAGATATCTCAAACAAAGAATCATAATTTCATTTCAATCCACTTCAATAACTTTTTTCGAATCTTCTTCATATTTTAAGTATATGATTCAGTTCATTTCATAGTGTTCGATTGTACTACAATATTTCGTGGATTGAAAGAAAGTTTTGACGTCCCGTGGGAAAAATCCAAGAAGTCGGTTTCTCTGGTGGTTTCATATGCTTTTGGGTTTGGTGAGTTTAAATCTGAAGTTTACAAACAAAATTGTTTGTAGCGTTCCGTAAAAAACAGAAAAATTCTTGCACTTTCTTCAGTTTTTTGTTCCTAACTCAAAAATCTCACATTATATAGAAAAGACCACTTCATATGATATTGAAGAAGATGAGATTTTCTATATACAGAGTGTTAGTGAAGAACTGTGTCCTAACTTGCTTCGTTTTTTATATACAGGATGTTGAAGTTGGAAGTATCGATTATTTTTATTTATAACGCCCCTGTATAAGCTCTCATGGTGCCAAAATTCAGTATGGTTGGAGACTGAAAATGTCGCAAAATTTCAAAATGATTCTTATTGGTAGTTTTGGACGCACTAAATGACCAAATATATGTAACCTTAGGCAATATGGCTCCTGTCATCAGAGATCAACTGGTGACCTGCTCGCTTACGTCTCACATATATGGCAGCAATATATTGAAAAATATGGTGAAACCTTAGCCGTGGCTCTTGATATATTCAAGGCATTCGATCGAGTCTGGCAACACGGACTCCTCGCCAAGCTTCCATCTTATGGCTTGCCTCCCCAGCTATATGTTCTCTGCTAGCTAGTTTTCTCTCAAACAGGTCTCTTCATGTAGTGGTCGACGGAGTTTCATCTGACTTCCTTATCATAAATGCTGGTGTTCCGCAAGGATCAATTCTAGCACTAACAATATTTCTACTCCATATCAACGATTTATAGGAAGCAACTGCATGTCCAGTGCACAGCTCTGCGGATGAAAGTACCCTCCATACCGCCACCTCTTCCAGGGCTCCAATACTGGCCAGGCAAATCAGAAACGAACGAGGAAGAAATGTTGACAACATAGATATCGACAACAACACTTCTCGAATGGGGATCCAATAACTTGGAATATTTCAATACAAAGAAAATACAAGCATGCCTTTTCTCTAGAGAAGCCGATCTCACTGTGCCCAACATGAGCTTGTCAGGAGTAACCATACCTTTGAAGACATTCATTTCGATGCTTGATATTACTATCACCAATAACCTTTCTTGCGAAAATCACGTGAGATCAATTCCTAAAACTCCATCTCAAAAACTTTGTTTTCTGTTTCGAGCCAGGAGGTATTTCACTTTCAGTCAGCTGTTTATGATCTATCAGACACAGATTCGACCTGTCCTGGGATACTGTTTCCATATTTGGAGTGCAGCATCCAAACATACCCTGAAACTGTTGGATCCTGTCCAAAAAGGGCAATTCGTCTCGTGATGCCTCGCTCACAAACTCACTCACTTCTCTGGAACACCGTACAAAAGTTGGCGATATGGCTCTTTTTTATAGATATTTTCATGGACGATGCTCTTCTGAGATCACAAAGATTGGTCCTTACCTGGCAGTCCCCGCGAGATTAACCCGTCGAGTTGATGCTTCGTTTCTACAACGAGTAGCGAGGCTCTGGAACACATTGCCAAGGAAGAGAAGAACACTAATTCCTACCGCATTTTCCTTGGTTCTCACGATGTTTTCTGAACATTACAGAATATACATTTTCGTGGGAAACAGAACATAAGAAAAACCTTATCGTAATTTTTTTGCAGAATGTATTCAAGATATTCCTGAGTCCTGTCACAATTTCAACCCGGAATCGCACATCTGCACAGGCCCGCTGACTGTCGACAAGACTGGAGCTGGACTAAAAGACGACGGTGGACCACTGGTCATCAATTGGACACTCGCTGGAGTCATCAACCATGGAGACCATGATCCAGAGACCGAACCAGATTCGTGCCACAAATCCACAATATACACGAGCGTGCCATACTATTTGGACTGGATAAATGACATCATCTGTATCAAGAGCGAAACCTCGGGCCTTTGTGAAGAAGATACACCAGATCCCCGAGTGGATACACCTGCTTCTGAAGAAGTAACATCATCTCCTGAAGAAGTTTTTTTCTATCAGGTGGAAATAACATTGACTCCCACGAATGATCCTGACAATGAGTACTCTCTTAGCTACAGGGTTTGGTGGTTCCCTCGGGATGACGATGATTACTACTCGGAAGAAAATAATGAGAATAATTATACCGAGCCCTCAGATGAAACAAGTTTGGAGCAAGATGGACAATACGATATTAAAAATGGACGAATCATTATCATCACCCTCCAGTTCTTCTTCGTGAAGACGGGTGATATATATAATACAAATTTACAAGATATACCAGTTGAGTTGCGTTCAGCTATCAAAACTATCAAAGCATAAGTTCGATAAAAATGTATCATGGAAATGGAAATAAATATGAATGGTTGCATAGTATATCACCATTCTACATAGTCATGAATGTTGTTTCATTAATTTACTCATCCAGAAAGTTGAAATGTGATAAAAAACATTTATCGAAGAGAATAAACAATGATGAGGAGTAAAAAAATATTGATTGGGGCGTGAAAAAAAATTGCTGACTACTAATTGAATGACTTTACATCGTATTCCACTCTTACCGGCCCCTCCTCTAGGTATATATCTCAGCTATCATCCATGTGATTCCCACCAAATTTGGGCTGGTATGAGTAACTATCAATTTGAATAGTTTTTCAAGGATGAATATCCTATTAAACGGTACCGTGTGATTTTCTTGAATTTCAAACTAGTTGATTATTCATGATATCATATTGGGATTTTTTCACAGGAAAACTAACCTCATGGTATTAACTTTCATAATTTTCAAATACATTCTATGACGGGTCTCAAAAAAACAGAAATCTAAATAAAGCATTTGTGCGAATAACGTGAATGAGTATTTTACTTTTTATTCGAATAAAACGAACAACCCTGTCTATGATGATGTTATTATATTGATGATTATCCTTACCAGTCCAAATCTGGTGAGAATCGAACTATTGATAGCTGAAATATTAGAGGAGAGGGCTGTTCAAAGTGAGACACGCTGAATCTATATTTGTTTCATCTCTTGGAGCGCACAAACGGAAATTCCTATAATGAATACAAGAAGCTCAAAGTCATTTCCACACGATGTTCATGAAATGAACAACAATGGTAGATTGGAAGAAGAACAACTACTCTTCTGGCTAATGCCACACAGAACATTGAATTACATCCTTCCGAAATCTATGCATCGACTCTTATAAACGAATACTTATACAAGTGATTCTCCCCTGAATAGCTATTGATTTCGATTTAGCCAGGCCACGCTAGACACATAAAGACGAAGGGATGCGCCGACTGGGCCTGTCGAGTTCGTCAGACTGGTATTGCTTGTGATGGAATGATAGCAGAGAATTCTGGAGAGCTTTCCTCGTGGAAGTATCTATAGAAAAGTGAAAGGTCGCCTACGGTGTTCCAATGATGTCAAAGAGTTAGCGAATGTGGTTTCACTTACCAGGCAAATGACTCTTCTCTGGATGGAATCTAAGAGCATTCGCGTATTTTTGGGTGCTGAACCACATATATAGGAGCAGTAACTATAGAACAGGACGTATCTGTGTTTTGTTGATCATGAAAATCTGTTGAGGTGTAGAAAAGCTTTTCGCACGAAACAAAAATCTGAGTTGTGAAGCAGCTTTCACGATGGACCTGACATGATTATTCCAAGTAAAGGTATTGTTGATGGAAATACTGAGCATATAGATGTAGTGGACTTAGTGGTAAAGGTGATACCAGACATTGTTATATAAGGCATACTGAGTTCCGCCTTTCTATCAAGACATTACAAGCTTGAGTTTTGATAGCGTTTAATTCAACTAAGTCGTTGGTTCCCCATGTGGTGATTTCAGCAAGATTTTCATTGACAGTATTGACCTACCTTCGCCGTGAGTTTTTAGTATCCTGGAAAGAATAGAAAATTCTGGGAAAGAACGCAGGATGAAGAGTACTATAATCTGCGGAGCTGTAGATAGGGCAAGTTGTAACTCAATGTTGGAGTCAAGATTGATTCATGTAAAACGCCGGAATTAATGACAATGAAATCAGATGATACTCCGTACACCACGTGAAGCCATCTGCATGAGAGAAAACTCGATAAAACATGGCATAGCTGAGGTGGTAAGCCATATGATGGTAGTTTGTGAAGGAGTCTTTGGTGCCAAACACGGTTGAATGCTTTCGATATGTCTAACGCCGGAGCTAGAGATTCTCTATGTTTTTCCAATGAAGCTTGGCATATTTGGGGAGACGTATGGGCAAGTAGACTTCCAGTTGATCTTTGGGGTCGAAAGCCATATTGTGTATCATTGATGATTCCTGAGCTTCCCAGATATTTGATAAGCCTTATGTTGATAACTTTCTCCGTCACTTTCGAGATTACTAATGATAACAGGGCAATCAGCCGGTAGTTGTTGGGCAGGTTTTTGTTTTCTTTTTTGGTGATTGGTTGGACTTTCTGCCAGTAGGTGATTATTCACCAATCTTGCATTGTCAGAAACATTTTTAATCTGTGGAAAGTTGCGATTTGGAGAGTCTGCGAGTGGAGGAATTGGAAAAACCATCAACAATAGTGTGATATTAACGTTCTCATATCGAATTGTCTCACCAAATTACACTCCAGCATTTATTTTGGTCCAATAAGAACTTGCAATTCAAAATTCGAGTTCTGCCAGAAAAAATAATTCTTTCTACGGACTCCTGATTATTTCGAAGGCAATATTTGTCGTTCAATTTCTAGGCATTAATTAAAAAGGACATTCTCTCAGAAGTTATTTTTGTTGTCATCAGTTCTGACGCCAAGACAGCGCACTCAATTTCCTAATCACTCTGTCCAAAAACGTATTCCTTCGACATACAAATTAGGGTAACTTCATCTAACTGCTTCCATGATAATCTTCAATGAAAATAGAAGTCAAGTGTTGCCTCAAATAGTTGAGAGTTCTCGAGTGTTCCTGTTATAAGTATAACTTAGTCTAAATGGCTGAGCTTAACAATCAACTAAAAATAATGAATTCACCCCTCAATTATTTTCATGACCACCACTTGGATACGGATGGAACTTGAGTCTATATATAGCATTCCATGATTGTTTCAGGAGCATTCACTGCTAGATGAACAATAAATGAGATTATACACTATGGTGCTAAAGTATGAAATGTATTAAATATGTCTGTTAATCTAAGGAGTTAGAGAGGCAAAGGGGCATGTCCGTTTGGTTTTTTGTATACTTATTTACAGGGTGATGCATACCTAGGAAAAAGTGTGCATCTTTTTGAATGGTACACTCTGCTTATCATCCCATATTCAGATGGGGATTTTAATGGAATCCCATGATACATGGGTTTGATAGGGGAGATTCAAACGACTACGAAACTATGGGCAAACCTTTGGTATTATTTGTCAAGGAAAGAATTCCCAGATTACCTTCGAAGGCTGAATCTATTAGTAAGTTTACGTACGAATAAAATGCTAAAATCCTATTCGCACGTTTACGTTCGAATAGGTTTCGACTTACCATATGTACATACGTATGCGTACGTATAATATGCCAATGCCTATCCGCACGTTTACGTATGAATATGGCTGGCTGTACCTATACGTACGTATACGATATAAGGTTCACTTTTATATCAGTTGTTATTTCTCTCACTCTTAAGTATATCAGGAGTTTTTGTAAAGATACGGAAGCATTATAGCAATTCGAATCTGATCGATTGTTTTGTCGATCACATTGATCTGAATAAATGTAGGAACTTCTTCCTATTTTTCTAGCACATTTTCATCTGTGCCTAACACATTGTGATATAACTTATTTTCAACCTATTGCAATGTGTATGAACATTTTCATCATTATGTTGTATGTCTTCAAAATTTGAATTTGATATGATTACATGCATCAAATATACGTGATTGATCACAGTAATTAATATTTTACAAACGCTGCCGTTACGTACCATGAGCATCCATGGAAATTATTTGCACGTGGGCGTACGGATAAAGTGTCTTCACCCTATCCGCATGCAATGCACACATACGGATGTATACGTACGGATGGGCGTTGGCATATTTAAACGTACGTATAAGTACGGATATAAGCTTCGACATATTAGACGTACGTATACGTACAGATAGGCTTTTGCATATCTATTCGTGAGTATACGTACGTATAATATGTCAAAGCCTATCCGTACGTATACGTACGTGTAAATATGCCAAAGTCTATCCGTACGTATACGTGCGGATGGATATGGGAAAGCCTATCCGTACGCAAATATAGTTGTCAATTTACTTACGGATAGCATTCTTGATGGATTTTCGCACGTAAACGTACGGATAAAGTGTCTTATCGCTATTTGTACGTACTCGTACGTATGCACGCACTGCGTGCGAATAGACACGTCTAATATGGAGGGTTTAGGGTTTCATCTTTACTATCTATATTACTTATTGATTCTAGTACACGTAACATGGAATAATTTAAAGATGTATGGACCATTCTGTATACTACAACTACATTCGAAAGATGATTCGATAAAAAATTTCGTGGAGAATATATCGTGTAGTTCGTATAAGAATCACGGTAGCCATTTGGATATAATATAATATATTGTTTACCGGGTGTCCCAGATCTTTTATAGCCAATATCTCAGTTATCCTGCTACTTCCAATGCGAATGCAGGTAGAATATTTTCATTACAAGGATTATTTAATGCATTGCATACATATGACATGGTATTGGTGGTAACTTCACATATTTATTTTAGTTAATTCTTCCGGTTACAGAAAAAATAGCATTTTTCATTGGGATCAAAAGTGACTCCGTTTGACTAGCAAATTTGCTTGTTCTTGGCTTCGCTAGACGCTGCGCCTCGCAAATGAAAAATACACTTGTCAAAGAAAGTGTCACTTTGATCCAAATAAAACAATATACTATTAAGAGAGATGGAATGTCATTTTTATGTACCCTTTCATTGAACGAGTGCATACATATTATTATTTGTAATCCTAACAGTGGCGTAACACCAATGGCAAATAAAGCTCATTTTGTTATATCAATATTACATCATTAAATGTTTTTCCATGAAATGAATATCGGAATTTGATACTTTCATGAACACTTGAGATGTTTTCTTGTCTTTGGAGAACTCAAATATAAATGGTAACCATCATTCTCAGAAATTTTGTTTGTTTTGTTACATCTATTCAAATGGAGTCAAACAAAATGAATTTGCGAACATTTTTTTTTTCATTTTCGGAAGTATTCGGATTTTTTCCCTTTTCAGGCAGAAATTTGGTTAGTAATAAAATAAAGCAACTTTTTCTCCATTCCATCATCCTCCATGCATGTTATTTTTACTCATTTCCAGTGGAAAGTTGAATGTTCTTCTGTGATACTAATAGTAATTAACTTTTTTACCGCGTTGAAATAACCTCATCAATTTTCTTTTATATAGAAGCAATATTTTTCATATTGTATGACTTATGTGTATTGTTCAATGAATTTCTAAATATTTCAGA